TGCGGCCCGGCCACGCGGCGAGCTCATTGGCCGCGGCCTCCGCCCGCCTCCTCCGCCGCCGCGGAACCGGCGCTTATTGGACCCCGCTCCGCAGCCGGGAGGAAGGAGCAGACCGGCGATGCTCACTAGGCACGGCCCTGCTCCGCGCGCGCGCGCGACGGCGGTGAGGCCGCCGCAGCCGCCATGTTTAGCGAGGGCAGGCCGGTTGCCGTGGCAACGGGGAGGGCAATGTTTGCGCTGGGTGAAGACTGAAATTTGAATGTGTTTAAATAAATTATAATACATTACAATAAATTAAGAAAATCGAGTAAAATAAAATAAAATGCGATCTGGACAGAAGATTTGGGGAATGATAGGCTTTTTCTTAAAAAAAAAATCTTTGGGATGAAACCCTGGTTCGTGCAAGCATCTATCTCTCCAGTGGCCTCCCTCCCCCAGGCCTGCTCTGGCACAGACTCAGCTATTTTTCAGACATTGCAAAAGAGGATTATTTCCCTTTTTTTAAAAGTCAGGTTCCCTTTTCTCCAAATTAATAAAAATTTTCCAATGCCAAAATCAGGAAGTGGTGCGGAGCACGTGCTGTTACTGCAGCAGTGCGAGCACGGCAGTACTCCGTTTTCCCTGGGTAAACCCTTGGCTAAGAAAACCATCCCCTAATAAACTTGTGCCTTGAGGCTTTTTGTTTTTTACTTTTTTTTTTTTTCTGGAGGAATTTATCCATTCCTCCATAAAACTGCTGTGCTAACACAATCTGACTTCCTCATCAAATTAACAAAACTTTCTCTTTATCAGGAGCTTTGCTCCCCTCGCAACCATATAGGAGAAACAAATCCGAGGTGGCCTCTGCGCGCCTGCGTCCTGGCTTTGCGTGCCTGGGTTTCTCACCTTGTGCACACACCAGACTTCTGCTTTCTGGGGCCACTGCATGCCACACGGCTCCCGCAGCTTCTTTCCTCCACAGGTCTATGCTTGGGACCAAGGACAGACGCTCACCCGCAGCTCCCAATGAGTCCCTGCAGCATCAGAAAAGCACGAAGCTGTGTGTTGTGCTGGGCATGCATGAGGAAGCCCTGTATAAGTTGGTTATAAAACTCTCGGTCTTGATTGTACTGCTTTTGGTAGAGGTTAGTAAATATATCTGGGACAGGCAGCTCCTTGTCTGGCTTTAATTACCTGGGCAAATTTTCCTAAGAATTATATTGACCTCAAATATGTCAACATTTATTGAGGCCATGTTCCTGAGGCTTTTCCCATTAGATGCTAATGGATTCTGGCTAATAGTCAAGCCGGATTGACCACCGGAGTGTGCCCTGGTCAGCTCTGGGTTACCACAAGTACCTGGGGAGAGGGCCGGGGAGGGTTACACCAGCTTCTCAGAGCCAAATATAAAAATCACTATGGCCCCTGTCCAAAGAGATCGGGGAGCATGCTTGAGAAATTGCATTCCTGACTATCTGCTTCTCTGGGCATGATTCATGCCAAGTCACAGCTGCATTTACATGTCAGACTTCAAGGAAGGGTTGCTGTCGTTCAGGTCGGTTCCCTTCGTGTGGGAAAGGGGAACCCAGCACCCCAGCCCAAAGCTCAGGCTGTCTCCAGACACACAGGAGCAGCCGCAGCCCAGGCAGAGGGCTTTGCAGGTTCTGCGGGACCGTAGCTTGGGCCAGCTGCATGCCCAAAGCTGGAGGGCAGGACAGGGATGTGCTTCGTACTGCCCCCGCACCAGCCCTGTGCTCTGGGCGTCTGCACCAAGTGCAGTGCTCGTTTACCAGTGCTGCCCTGGAAAGCCAAGTCACACTGGCTTTGTCGCAAGCGCTTCCTTCCACTCTGGCAGCTGGCAGCCAAGAGCGCGGCCGGGTGCTTTTGGCCGTCTGCATGAGTGTGACGGCTCGTGTGTGGCAGTGTGTCAGAGCCCTGCCTGCGCTCAGGTCAGCCAAGGCTGACCATAAGCATGTGCTTCTCTCCTCTTGTGTGTGTCCCACACCGCCCTGCCAGGCCTGCGCATGTGTTCGAGTCCTTCCGATTTCTCAGCCCTGCACAAGAGTGTGCGCACGTGAGTTGTCAGGATTCAGGTGCACAAGGTGCACATTAGCCTCTGCGTCAGAGAGCAGCCCCCACCACTGTGCCCGTCCTGGGCACAGCTCCCCTGACCCTCTTCCCACTAGTCCCCAAGTCAGGCAGCTGCAGGCAGCAGCTCCATTTCACACAAGTCCAGCACATGATGTGAGCTCTGCTCCCCATTGAGAAGCTGCAGCGCACTCAGCAATCACCTGGCCTCCTACAAGTATTTGGGGTTAATTACGTCTTGAGCAGAAACAACAGTTTAAAATCCCCTCCCTTCCTTCCCCTCCTGTTTTATAAAGAGGATCAAAACGCAGAGGCAGTCCCCTAGGCTCAGCTCGCAGCGTGGAGCTAGAGGGTGTGCCAGAGGGAAGAGCCAGGACAGGAAGGAGGGAGGTGCCGCACTCATTTCAGGCTGTGACCTGGGAGAGTCAGGCTTCCTCCCCATGTCCCCTTCCCCACGGTCCAGCTGCACTGGGGCTGGGGCTGCTGCTTGCCTGGGAACAGCCCACCTGATGAGGTCTGTGTCTTGCCATCCTACAACTGGAGGTAACCAGTAAGGTGCCAAGGAGCAGGGACAGGTTTTGGAGGCAGGGCACATTTGGCCTGCCTCTTGGTCATGGGAACGAAACACTCAGCTACTCCAAAGGCAGAGGCAGGTGTGGGGCCAGAAAGCACAACATGCCCCCGCTCCAGACACAATTGCTATAACAACAGGGGATGCCATGAAGGCAGCTGGCATGTCTCCAGTGATTGAGGGTCCATGCAGGACAGGGGCTGACAAGAGAGCCCTTCAGGGACGTCCCTGAAGAGCAAAAGAAAGGGGAGAAAAAGGGTGAAGCTGCATCAGAAGAGGAATGCCGCAGGTGAGTTGGAGCCCTGTCCCCCTCCATCTGACCATGCCGTGCTGTGCCCCTCCAGTCCCTGCCCTGCTGCATCCCTGCCCCGCGGGGGCAGACATTGCGGGGGCTGCCGGAAGCAGGCGCTGGGAACGCCGGGGCCCAGGAATGCGCTGCGGCCCCACGGGACAGCTCTTCTGCTGCTTTCCCAGCTTCTCCAGCCCTTCCCAGCGCGTACTGGGGCAGCGGCACAGTTACGCCTCCGGACTGATGAGAAGCAGGAGGCAGCAGCATTGTAGGGCCTTGGCCTAAGCCCTCTCCAGCTCCGTGCTCCTCCAGTCCTGGGGCTCCCTGGAGTCAGAAAGGGCGGCTCTCCCAGCCCTGCTTTCTCTGACAGGGCTCTGAAAGCGGACGCACATGTTAGGCTGGAGAAGTGTGTTGTCAAAAACTTGTCCTTTTCTTGATCCCTTCCTTCTTCCCTTGGGCTGCAGAGAGCCAAGCCAAAGTGACGAACAGGAGCGCAGCTCTGCAGATCAACATGCTGAAAGAGCCCATGAATAAGGCCAGGAGGAGGCGGGGTGGGAACCAGCAAGGATACAGCCACCCTGTGGTTTGGATAGTGCCCTTTGGCTCCTGGCCTGCCCTGGATCGCTCTGTCAGGAGGCATGTTGTCCCCGTAGCTGCCACTGCTGTCTCTGGCTCTCAGCTCCCAGGAGGACCATGGCCTGGCAGGTGAGTGCTGACAGGAAAGTGCTCAAGCGGAGACTGTGGGACCTGGAGAAAGCACTGGATCAGGGATAGGAGAACAAGTAAGGCATACCTGAAGGTGAGCACAGGATTGCAAGGCGCAGGGGGACTGACACAGGGACCTCACACCATGGTGCCCTGGCTGCCGGGGGAAGCTCCCCTTGTCTTTCTTCTGTCTCTGACAGAGTTCCCCATTCCAAAACACATCCTTTCTGACCCCTCCTCCTCACTCCCACACTGCCAGTACACAAAGGCACAGGGGGTGGACTTGCTGCACCCCCGCTGTCTATCCTCCATGCAGGCAGAGGAGACAGAGGCAGAGCCTTCCCTGCCTGCACGAGGCATCCGTTAGCCATTTCCTTTAGTGCTCAAGAAGGGGCTTAGAGCAGCAGAGGTGAAACCTCAGCCAGGGGTTTGCGGTCTTTGCCACATGCAAAGCTTCGTACAGGCTTTCACTCTCCCACGCTCACTCAACGGAAAGGTAAAGCTCTCCCTTTAGGGCTCCCTCCTGCCTCCCTGGCGCTGTCCCTCCCCTGCTGTACAGCAAGACCATGTACAGCAGTGCCTGAGGTGCGAGTCACAAGCGGACCCCTCAGATGCAGTCTTCCATGGACCCCTGTTGGGATCCAAGCTTGGGATCTTCTCCTTTGCCCCATTGTTGTCCGCTAGCAAGGGCCCGGCTGTACCAGGAGCTGCAGAAGCAGACAGCATCCCAGAGCTGAAGCTTGGAAACAGAGTTGCAGAGCCTGCAGGAACGGCTTGCTAAGGCCGACTGCATGCCCCTTCCTTGCCTGTGGGCTGGGGCTCACCATGCAGCAGCAGGAGCCGGCGCCTATCCACTCACCATCCTCAGCATTTGTGCCCGTTCCCCCACAGCTGCCAGCCTCCAGGAGAAGCAGTGGCTGCAGAGCATGACTGACAGGGCACAGGCAGAGAACCATGAGACCATTGCCCAGGTGCAGGACAGACTCAGCGTGATGGAGTTGCAGTACAAGAGGATCCTCCACATGAGTGGGGATGAGGCTGCAGGTGGCTGCTGAGGGCAACACGGCAGCTCCTTTTCACTGCCACCTCTCCCTCCAGCATAGTCTGGACTTTGTCCTAGCCACACTGCCAGAAGCCAGACAGCACTGGGAGGAGATGGGTACCACCATCGCCAGAGAGGACAAGGAGTGCCTGAAGGAGCTTGGTCTCAACCCCCTGCAGTTATAGCTTGCTGGGGACCTCCAGAGCAGGACAGGCTTGCCGGGACTCTGCCTCCCCCTGCCTTCAAACTTCCCCTATCCCTTGCTTGTCTTGTTCCCTTGCTCCTATGGGAGCTCCCCTGGCCAGAGGACAGACATGATGATTCTCAAAGGGCCTTGGGATGCACCACTGAGACGCAGATCTCTCCATAGCACTATCGGCAGAGAAGCGGTGAGGATTTGTCTTTTATTCACATCCCAAAAGGATGACACAGGGACAGTGTTGTGGTGGAGCAGGCATCCATCAGCCCAGGCCTTGCAGACAGGGCAAAGAGAATGGCTTCACTGAGGGACAGACTGCAGCCAAGAGACTGAGCACTAGGGGCCCATGCAAAGCCTGGGGGCTGCTTCTAGAGTCCAATGGCCTCTGCCCCTCACTTTCCCCTTTGCACGCTGTTCCTCAGACCAGCCCTTTGACTGAGCAAAGCCCTAGGTGGCCCAGCACCTGGATTATGGCTTGGAGGGCAGTGCCTCAGCTCTCCCAGGAGGTTGCCGGAGCCTGGAGCTGGAGGAGAGTGAGGATTTAAGATTGCGTCCATAAATACCTCTGGAGGCAGCTGGAGAGGCAAAGGCACAGGTGGTCGGGCTTCGATTACAAGAAGCCACTGTGGTAGTTAATAAAAACGTGGGCCCAGTCGTAGACACTGGAGACGAATCTCTGGAAGATGTGATGGTGCAAATCCCAGCCACACTGAGCAGTGCTGGGCTCCCTGGGGAGCTGGGCCAGGGCACTGACGGGCTGGAGCTGGCCTGCATCAAGCCTCTGTGCAGGGAAACCTTCCTGGAGCCAGACTCAGCTCCAAACACTAAAATGCCTGGCGCAGCCTCCTCTGCTCCTCCAGGCGCTGGCTCTGCGGGGACAGAACAGGGACATGCGGGCAATCCGGCTGTGACATGCACCTGCCTGCCAGTCAGGCTTTGTTTGGGCAAGGGCAGCCCAGCTCCACGCAGTGATCGTGGCATGGGGATATGCCACAGCAGAAAGGGCAGAAGCGAGCTGCGAGCTGGAGCAGTGGCTGAGGTGTGAGCGGGTCTGGCAGAGCTGGACAAGCAGGATTACCTGTGCAATGTCTCTAGAGGCAGGAGAGGTCATGACCTGGGAGCTGGGACTCTCTGGTCCTACATCAATATGACAGAGCTCAGGAGACCTGTCAGGAGAGGGCAAGGAGGGAGTGCAGGAGCCCGAGGCAGGGTTGCTGTCCTCAAAGAACTGCAGTGGGGACAGCCCAATCTGCAAAAGCAAATGAGAGTTTAGTCCTGCATCTGCAGGCACCTTGCAGACCAACCCTGGAAGAGACCTTGCTGTGTGCAGGCTTGGAAACAAGACATCCATCCTGGCATCTCATCCTTCATCATAGCATGACATATGCCCAGACATACCGAACGGTAGAACTTGTCACCAGCAGGGTCGATGACGAGCAGTGTCACCTGCTCCTCCTGGGCGCGAATCCTCATCACCGTCTCCTGGTGGTTCAGCCCCTCGATGCTCTCGCCGTTCACTGCCAGAAGACGGTCCCCTTCCTTCATGCCTGCTCTCTCGGCTGGCAGCCCAGCATCCACCTCCCACAGGAATTGGCCTGACATCATGGGGCACGGAGGAGAGAGAGGAGATGCTCATTGAGTTGGGGCATCCCGGAGCACTGAGGAGGACACGGACCCAAGTGTGGGCCATCCCAGCTCTTCCCAAACCTCACCTGTAGTCCCTGAGCTACAGTCCTCCTCCTTGAGCAGGAATCCGTAGCCATCTGGCCCCTTCACCATGTGCAGCTTCCGGACCTTGAAAGGGAGCCAAGAGGCATCCGCCAAGGCGGCTGTGACCCGCAGACCCCACAGGCGGTAAAACTGTTCCGCCGCACTCGATGCCACCAGCAGCGTCATCTTGCTGCCACTCCGCTTGAGCTGGGTGAGGAAGCAGTGCAGAGTGCTCAGCGCTGTCACCCATTCGCACCCTCCATCACCCTTCCCTTGTGCGCAGGCAGCACCCACCTTTCGGGCGAGCTGCGTGCGCGAGTAACTCCTCACGCTGTCGCCATTCAGCTCCAGGAGCCAGGAGCCCGAGGGCAGCCCCGCACGCTCGGCCGGCCCGTCGCGCCGCACTGACAGCTGGAAGGTGCCCTTTGTGCCTGCCCGGAGCAGATCGGCAGTGCAGGCGCTGCCACAGCAGGGTCTCACTGCCCTGCCACCCCATCCCCTCTTTTACCTTCTGGCCCTGAGACGCTGAAGCCAAAACCACTTTTGTCCCTTGTGATGTGGCAAAGCCGTGGGCGGATGTCAGCTGGCAGCATCTGGGACACGTCCCTGCCAAGTGCTTTCGCTGTTTCATAGGTATTGCTATCCAGCACTGCCAGGAGGACCTGATTCCCACTGGCCTTGATTTTCTGCACCACCTGCAAGGGGGCAGGTGGTGAACTGTCTCCTCCCAGCATTCCCCTGGAGGGACAGGCCACCCCAGGGGGCAGCACCACATGGGGACACTGTCCGTCCCCACATCCTGCAAGTTACCTTGCTGTGGTCCATGTGGTCCACGAAGTGGCCATTCACCTGAAGGAGCCGGTCCCCGTCCTGCAGCCCCTTGCGCTGCGCCAGCCCCCCCAACTCAACCTGCCGGATGATGTGTCCCCGACAGCCCAGCTCCTCGTGCAGACAGAAGCCAAAGGTCTCGCTGCTGTCCTTGCTCAGCAGGTAGAAGCGGGGCTCCCCCAGGCCCTTGCCATCTGTGTGGTGGGCACAGCCCATGAGCGGGGCCCTGCAGGCATCCTAACATGGTCTTCCCACCCCTGCCAGGGTTGGGGGTTCCCCCTTCTACCTTACACATTCACCTCCCTGCTGCTCCCTACCTTAAGGGACCCCAGACCCAAGCGATTCCCCTGGAGTACCCAGCTGTCCGCCCCCCTGTGCTGACACAGGAAACGCCCCAGAGACGTGGGTATTTACCCGTGTCCTCAGCCAGTGACAAGGCAGGGTTGTCGATCCCATCTTTGGGGTTAAACTCAAATTTTCTGAAATATTAAGAGGCAGGAGAGGCCATATCAGTGCGGCAGCATGCCCTTTCCCCCTGCCATCCCTGGTCCTGTTGCACTTCTGCGTCCCCTTCACTTCTGCGTCCCCTTCCTTGGTGAAAGCAGGCAAGGCACCTCCCTCCTGGAGCCTGCCTGCACCTCTCCTGGGCTAACAGCTCAGCAAAAGACCCTCTGAGGACAGGCAACTAGGGGTCCGCACCACCCCACAGCCCCTCAAGGTACCCACCACCCCAGCAAGCCCCTGACGCCAGGGAAACTCAGCACTTACAGGATGGACTTTGTGTCATCCTTGAGCCCTGCGGAGGGAAAGGAGAGATCAGGTCCCAAAAGCTCCAGGCTTGTTCCTTCACACGCTAGGGAGGGGGCACAGGGGAATGTGGGGTCCACACAACCTTCCCTCTGCCCCTGGTTGGGAGAATTTCCTGGGACAGCCTTGCCTGGGCACAGCTCCACCCTTGGCCCTGCCAGCAGTGTCTTCTTATGTGTCAGAGCAGCAGGACACCCACTGCTCAGGTCCAACGGGCACCTGACACCCAGCCCAGCTGCTCCCGCAGCACTTGAACAAAGGGACCTCAGGCAGTGGTGTGCAGATGGAGACTAACCCCATGAAGGGGTCACCAGGCTTTTGGGCTGGCAGCAAGGAGGGGCATCAGGCCGCTGAGAGATTCTGAGGTGGCACAGGAGGCTGTAGTCCAGAGGTGGGCACAGAGGTTTTCCCCTCCACATCTCCCTAAGAAACCTCTCCCCACCTCTTCCAGCCCAAGGACCCCATGAAGAGAGGTCCTTGCCACAGGACACATCTGCATTGTCCAGGATACTTGCTGCACCTTCCCACCACCTCCCTCTGCTCTGACGTTGCCTGGCCCCCAGGAGAATCAGGGCCTGGAGACGTGTGTGTGGGGAAGGGTGTCCGGAGGACTAAGCACCACTGCCCCTCAGCCCCAGCACGTACCTTTCATTTGCTTCATGGCTGCAGGGACTGCAAGAGGGAGCAAGGTACAGGATGAAGTGGCAGAGAAGCCGGTGTCCCCGCCTCCTCCAAGACGCCCCAGGTTTAATGGTTAAACAGTTCTGACATCTCCCCTGCCTTCCCACTGCCAGCCTGTGCCCAGGTGGGTTTGGAGCAGCAGCTGCGAGGGTCTTGGGAACAGACCGCAAGTGTCCTGGCTTGCAGCTGCCCCCAGGGACAGCACCCTGCAGAGGAAAAGACCACTTCCATCTTGGCAGGGGCTGGAGCAGAAGCAGGGCGGCTGCCCAGGCCGAGTCCCATGAGGCAGGGAAGCACCAGAGCCCTCCACGGCAGCCATGGGAGGGACGGTTGCACCCGCTCCTCCACATTCCTCCCCCGGGAAGGGCCTGGAGAGGAGACTAAGTTTATGCACTAGCAGGTTAAGGAAAACAACAGGGGGCACTTTAATGCTACCAAAGATTTCACAAGCAAGGCAGAGTCCTGCCCCGTTCATGTCACGTGCCAGCCAGGGATCTCTCCAAGCCCAGAGCAAGTCCTATTTTCTCCTGGACTGGTCAGTGTGCAGTTCACCCACATTTCAGCCTTGCCCACAGCAAGGAACTGAGCCCCACATACCCAGCACCTTTAACAGCCTTGGTAGCACCTGATCACTGGGCATCTCCACCAGGATACAAGTGCAGATGCAGTGCTCCCAGGCATGCTCGAGGCTTCCCTCCTCGGCAGGGCAGTTCCCTCCCTGGTCAGGTAGGTAGATGGCTGGTTAGAGGCTCCCATGCTGAAGTTTCCCAAGCATCCTCTTGACCTCCGTCTCCACTCGCAGGAACTTGGCTTTTCTCCAGGGGTTGGCAGTCTGTCTCCGGCTGCTCTCCAGGTCCTGCAGGATGAGGGCAAGGTGCTGCCGAACTCGATCACGGTCCCAGAAAGGCAGGTTCTTGTGCACTATGCTCAGGATGTTGGACCAGTAGTCAGAGACATCAGTGCCCGCTGTAAGGAAGACCAGCGCCCTGATGCCATCTCGATCCACGCGTAGTGTGTGAAGCTCCCGTTTGCCTTCTTCGCTGATGTCGTTAAAGTACAGGCTGCAGCATGGGAGAAAAAGGGCAGGGAAACTCTATGAGGCTGGAGGGCAGCACCCAGCAGCAGAGAGGGACTCCCCATATCTGTTGCTAAGTGGAGGGAGGCTGGGTTGAACGTACTGCTCATGGGAACGAGAGATGAGGAACTCACTGCACTGTGTTCAGCGTTGCGTGCTTTTTGGCCACCTCCACAAGCGCCAGGGCAGCCGTGTCCGTCAGAGAGTTGTAGCCCAGGTTGAGCTCCTGAAGGTGCTTGTTCTTGGCCAGATGTTCAGTGATGACCTCAACGCCCCGGTCCCCCAGCGATGTGTGCAGCAGGGACAGGCGGGTCAGCGAACGGTTGCCTGCCAGCGCCTCGGCCAGGAACTGTGCCCCCTGCTCACCCACAGGGTTGTTTGCCAGCCTGCAGACACACGAGCTCAGGGGAATGGCCAAGGCTGGGCACAAGGCCCAGATTCAGAGAACAAGGTAGGCAGCAGGGACGTTTTCATGGGAGCACAGAAGCAATGCTTCCCTTCCCTTTAGGTACTCACCGCAGGTTGCTCACCACACATTTGTCATGCAGGAGCAGGTCACGGATTTCCTTGCAGGCATCAGGACCCAGGCTGTTCAGCTGCAAACTGGTGCAGGGCAAGAGATGGAGATGGCAGGACCAAAAAAGCTGTTATACGTGAGGCTGGCACACCCACACCCTCCAATCACCCTGGCCTTCTCCTTCCCTTGCTGTCACCCTCCCACTTGGGAGCCCAGAGAAGTCCAGGCAAGATTTCTTCTCTCAAAAGCAGCACATGGCAACTGCACCCACGATCCCACCAGAGCTTGGGAGGCATCAGTCAGCAGTTTCACTGCCAGCAGGGCAGCAAAAAGGGACTTAGGGCCTGTGGGTGGCAGGCGATGGTCTGAGGAGATAGAGCAGGAACCTACCGAGCTCTCCAGAGCATCCAGAGGAAGGAAGCTCTGCACGACGCAGCTGTACAGATGAGTCCATCTCTGCAGAGCCTGGCCTGCCACCCCCTGGGCATTGGGAAGACTGCAGGTCCACAGATGGACTCCTATCGCTTTGCACCCACCCTTGACTGCCTCTCTCCTGCCCAGAGACAGCAGAGCCTGCCACACAGCCATGCTGGGTGTTTTCTGGACATGGAGACACTTACAAGCAATGGGAGAGACCTGAGCTTGCCAGAGAAGCCAGTAGGCCAGTCTGAGGTGCCCAAAGTAGGAGAGAGCGGCCTCAGGATGTGTTGGGACTCCAAGTCCCAGCATGCAATGCCCAGCAACACTGCTTAAGGAACATTGCATATCGGAAGCTGTAGTCTGCACTGAGGATAAACAAGGCTGTGCAGGCTTTTATGCTGCTTCTGCTGTGCTCCAACTCCTGGTGTTCCCCAAGACACAGAGATGAAGCCAAGCCCTGGTTTTTGAGTGTTGCCCAAGGCACTACTCACTGGAGAGCCTTGCACCGCAGCAGGACAGGGAAGAGGGTCCTCAGGCTGCTGGTATCAAGATTGCAGGAGGTCAGGTTCAGTTCCTCCACGTCATGGCACGTTGTACACATGACAGATGCCAGGAGAGAGCACTTTAGAGGGGTCATCTTGACTGATGAGAGGTTGACAGTCCGGAGAGAGCGGATGGCCTCAGATGTGAAGCGTTCGTTCTGGAACTCATGCAGGAAGAAAAGGTAGTCCATCAGTTCAGAAGGGGGCAGTCCTTTACGGCTGTTCCTGATGACTGTCTTCTTCATGGCCTTGGCAATTTCAAAGGCTGCCAAATTCTTGATGGAGCAGCCTAGCTGCTCCAGGATGGCACGGTTACGGCGGGACAGGATCCCACCCATGAAAATGGGGAAAAGTTCAAACACCTCATCGTCAGAGACCCACTCGTCAGGGTGGCGCATGGGGCCCTCCGTGCCCAAGATGCTGGAATTGATCTGATCCAAGACATCGTCATTGAAATAGTCCTCCTCTTTGAACATCTCCTCTGCCATGGTTCGGGCAATAGTGTCTCGGTCCTTGCCACTCAGCCGCGAGAAGTAGCGAGGGAAAATTTTGAGCAAGTTAAGAAGCACTGGCAGGAAGCGCAATGGCAGCACCTTGGAGATGATGTTCAGAACCACGACAATATCTTCACTTACCTTGCCAAAGATCTCTGACAACTCCTTCCCTACCCGCTGTGCCAGGGTCTTCTTCTCA